AAAAAAAAAAAAAAAAAAAAAAAAAAAAGTTTAAACCCAGCCTGGGAAACTTGGAAAGACTCTGTCTAAAAATTTTAAATGAAGTTGGGTGTGGTGACACACACCTGCAATCCTAGCACTCAGGAGGGTGAGGCAGAATAAATCCCTCACACATAGTGACTTCATGGCCAGCCTGAACTACAGAGGGAGACCCTGTCTCAAAAAGAAAAAGGCTGGGGACTTAGCTCAGTGGCACCGTGCCTTCTTTGCAAGCACAAGGTCCTGAGTTCAATCTCCAGTACCAAAGCAGAAAAAAAAAATTCTTTGGCGAATCTCAGCACCCATTCTCAGGAAGATGTCAGGAGTAGAATTCAGTGCATGTTTAAAGAAGTGGTTGCAACATTCTACATTCCCACCAGTAACATACAAGAGTTCTAGCTGTTCCGCATTCTTGCTCTTAGTATTACTCGGTACCTATGTGGAGAAGACAAAATGCCTAATCCTAAAGTCTGAACCAAATGGTTGCAGGAGTGAAGAGAATCCCATACAATGTATTATTGAAAGATACAGCTAAGGTTTAAATTAAAAACTTATTACAGCTTCTTTCTTTTCTGCTGTAAGCCCAGCTTGGTGCTGTCCAAATGGGCAAGTTTGTGAAACCTGGGAAAGTGGTGCTGGTGCTGGATGGATACTACTCCGAACGCAAAGCTGTCATCGTGAAGAACACTGAAGTCGACAGCACCTCCAACCACCCCAACAGCCACTCCCTGGTGGACAGGATTGACCGCTATCCCCACAAAGTGACAGCCACCAGGGGCAAGAAGAAAATTGCCAAGAGGTCAAAGATCAAGTCTTTCGTGAAGGTTTATAACTACAATCAACTGATGCCCACACGGTACTCTGTGGACATCCCCTTGGACAAGACTCTGGTCAACAAGGATGTCTTCAGAGACCCAGTCCTAAGTTGCAAGGCCCACCGGGAGGCCATGGTCAAGTTCGAGGAGAGGTACAAGACAGGCAAGAACAAGTGGTTTTTCCAGAGCTTTGGTTTTAGGTGTTTTTTGTTCCCATCATTAAAAAAAAACAAACAAAACTTATTACAATAAAAGACACAATACCAAGAACGACAGAAGTGTTCAAAGCCAGGGGGAGTAAGCACTTCAGTATCAATGCATCTTCTACTGTCAGAAATTTTTCAATTTAAACATTCACTGTATGTTTTGATCACACATTGCGGATCAAATGAGGGTCAAACAGCGACTTCTGTCAAATAAAACATTATGGTATGTCCTCATCCTCCTTATTTACCAGACCTGGCACCATGTGACTTCCAGCTCTTCCCCAAAGTCAAAATGACCATGAAAGGTTAAAAATTCTGAATCAATTCTGGACATCGAGGCAGCCAGGGCAGCACAATTAGATGCAAAAGAAAACTTCAGACTTGCTTCAGAAAGTGTCAAGATAAGTGTGTTTGAAGCAAGGGGTATTTAATGGCAATGTGTCTTTTGCTGTACTAAATTTTTTAAAAAATTAATATTCACATTTTTTATTTTTTTATCACACTGCATATGTTCCTAGAATAAAAGTTCAGTTCCTAGCTCTCTTTTCAGATTGCCTAGTCAGTGCTAACAGTAATTAGATTCCTCTCTGGCACTAGTGGAGAGTAAGTACACCCCGAGATCAAGCCATCACCTCCACAGTCTGTAACCCTAATACAACCCCAGCTGACACTGAATATTAGTATGTATCAGCTGCCACTCATGCAACAGCCCATGGATCCTCCTAGTGACGTAAAGGGGTGGGTGCTCTTTGCTTCCAGGGGATACATGGGGACCTGTGAGGCTCAGCAACACCTCACTGAAACAGCCCCAGGCAGAGGCTCAGGTCAAGACACCACTGGCTCTAGGCCCAAAGTGAAAAGGTCCAGACTTCAGCAGAAGCGGGCAGGGTGCGGATCACAAGGGCCCTGTAGATGGAGGCCCACAGGGTGGGTGCTGCAGTACACAAGCTGTGATAGAGGGAAACGTACTGCTCCAAATGCCCTGGCTTCCTGCGTGAGCTTCCTGCCATCTGCATCTGCTGAGGCTGAATCACCACCCACTGGGGTCCAGCAGCCCAGCAGGACTGGCAGCCACTGTGCCTTGATTTCTGCCACTTGCCAGCGTGGCCGGCTGTGCTGTGCACGTTAGCGCACAGTCCAGTCCTGCTCCCTCTCCCCACACCCTCTTCTGCTGGGCGTCCTCTGGGATCTCAGCAAACCTTTGTGGGCTCTGAAAAACAAAAGCCCGAGGCAAGGACCAGCTCTGAGTGCTATGGGAGCCGCCAGCTGGGGCCAGCACTTTTCTCCCGCAAAAAGCCTGTAAACAAAATCTTTTTATAGTTCCAGAAGTGGTATGACACTGTTTTTCTTAGCATCAAGGCAGCTGATAGCCCACTGGGGAAATCTGGATGCTTCAGAGCAAAAGATCCGGCCAGAGGGTAGAAACACTCCAGCCCATGTGTAAGATCCTGCAGGGTCAGCACCGAGACAAGTAGGTGGAGGGCCCTTCGTCCCAGCCACCTGGTCCAAGGTGCAGGGCTGGCTCAGCCTTATGGAGCAAGCTCTCAAACACCTGGCCAGGACTCACCGGGGCTCTTTAATCCTGACTGGCCCACAAGGCAGCTGGAAGGGTTTCTCACACCACAAGCAAGGCAACTGAGACACAAAATCGTTAACCCATTTATGTATAAGGTTGTCAGAAGCCTCTTACTAGAAAGGGCTATCTTTTTTTTTTTGAAGTTATCTTTTTAAGTGTCTAAATTACACTAAGAATAGAAAGTTTTTTATGCTTTTAAAATAATTATCTTGTCAAAATAAGGGACAGCAAGCCTATGTCAGCCTTTCAACTTTCTTTTTGTTTCTTTTTTGCAGTACTAGGATCCAACCTGCAGTACTGGGATACTCTATTGCTAAACTACATCCCCAGCCTTTTTCATCTTTTGCTGTTTTTGAGGTAGGGTCTCACTAAGCTGCTCAGGCAGGGCTCAAACTTGGGATCCTCCTGCCTCAGCCTCCAAGAATGCTGGGATTACTGGTATGCACTACCACACCAGGCTGTTTTGTTATCAGCTATGGAAGTATGGGAATCACTGCTGCACAGCAGGCTCACTGTTCTCTGCATGGACATGGAAGGTCTTCTCCAGGAAATCTTTTCAGACTTCCTACCTCTAGGGTGATCACAGCTGTTCCTCTCTGCGTTTGGCTACTTCTCAGGTCTTCATCTGCACAGGATAGAAATTTCATTGCCCCATCTCTAGTTGTCTGTCTCTTCTGGCAAAGCAACTAAGGGGACATTTACTAAATTCCATTGTTCTGTTCTGTCCTTTCTACTGCAGGTACTCTGGACAATGCCAGAGTCTCAGACCCAAGCCCAGGCTACTCACTTGCCAGGACAAGAACAGTGAGTGACACTGTATGCAGGGAGGCGACATACCCGAAGTGCGTGCCATCCCGGTCGATGAAGTAGCGGCCCTCGGCGTCGGTGGGGATGTAATGTCGCCCGCTGAACATGGCCGCCAGCATGGTGTCCTCGTAGCGCCGCAGTGTGGACAGGCGGGTGGTGAAGTGAGCACCTCCAATGTTGAGGGGCACAACCTCGGGAAACTGAGAAGGGAACCACAGGGTGCTCAGGCCAGAGGGAGGAATAAGCACAGGGCTGCTCGGGCCTGGTCAGCCCCAAGCCCAGAGAGCCAGCTGGATGCTTTCCTTCCTCTTCCCTGTCCGCTATGCTCATCAACGGCCATGTCCTGCTCATTGTACCCGACAGCTCTTAGGTCAGACCTCCCCATGCCAATCCTGCCATCTAAGCCTTCCCATCCTCCTTCTACTTCCCAGGCTTATCAATGTTAAGTCCTTGTTCACGTCTCCTTTGTCCAAAATGCTCTTTCACTTTCCCGGCGTCCATCTGGTAAGTGAGTCTGTCCGTCTGGGGTGTAGGTGGTGAGCAAGGCACCAATCCAGTCATGTGGCCCTCCTGATCCACACCAAGGCTCCATATGGCCGAACAGCATCCAGTGGCTGGAGAAGCTTCCATTCAAGGTCCCCTCCTCTGTGACCATTCAGCTCCACTGTCCCCTCTGTCTTAACTACACCCTGTGTCCGCACATATGCCAAACTTCCCTCCTGTACAGCACCTTGCACCCCACACTGGTGACAACACCTGCTGCCAGCCCACCATCTCAGTCCCCACGCTTCCCAAGGGCAGGGGAAGCCAGATGAGCCGCTTGCTGAACGGCTCTGGACACCCAATCCCCATAGTCTACACCTCACTTGTTCCTCTCCTATTGATCTGCACAGTGAGAAGGTCAGTGCCCTGATTCAGCTAAGATTCTGCAGGAGAGCTCTAGGTGAGGATAGGAAAATGACGGTGAAGGTTTGCCCCGGGAATCCTGGTCCCCCTTACCCCCATAACACATGGGCTTTTTTTTTTTTTTTATGTCTTTCTCTCCTCGTGGTTTATAGCAAACTACATCTGAAAGAAATGAGTCCAGTTCTCTAACTTTCCCACAAACTTCCTCCAGATCCACTGATTTTGTTATCAATTCAATGTTCTATCTCTGGCTCCAGTGAAAGTCTATGTGTATTTATAAAGACAGCCCCTATCCCGATTTTCCTTGTAAAATAAAGCAGGCTACAAATAGATTAATAAAACTCACCCGAGACCCAGTTCGTGATAAAGACATAATGTTCCCAGAATAAATGAATGAAGCAGCCAGGCACTCTGACTCCCTGTGTGTACACATGGCCACTCTCGCACCCAGAGGTGATGGGGCTGGGGATAGATGGAGGCTGCTTTTTCTACACGTCCTCTAAACTCATTCCCTGTACACACCAAGGACTCAAAAACTGTTTCACATTTCGGGAGTTCTTTCAGTCTTTCCAGGGATATTTCACATCATCCATGTGTTCGCTCCATGTTAGAGAATGAGAGGAGTGAAGCAGAGAGGAACAAAAGTAATTGAGAATGGAGTTTTAGAACTCACAGGAGCAATGTGAGCCACAAGGCAGCTAGAACTGGGGGCCTGGCCTAGCCTATGGAGTTTGTGCCTTTTCGCTCAAACCATATCTTCTGCCCAATGACAAGGCACAAAACATAGCACCACTGTGTCTCTATTGGCTGTTTGTCCCAACTACAGAATTAGAAAATCTGCTTATTTTCACAAGCTTCCCATGATGTCAGTAGTTTATGGTGTCTAACCCGAACTCGACTCCACTGCCGAGAGCCTTGTACAGCCTCGCACCACTGAGACTCTGTCCCTTCTCTCTAGGCATCACATTCACCTCCTGGTCTCCTCCAACTGCAGTGTCTACCATTCCTGCTCTCTCCTAAAGGTCGTTTTGTGAGCATGATGGTGTCACACCCATTAAGTGAGCCTAGTGAAGCTGTTGTGCATTGCAGCTGGCTAGTGGAAGCCACGGGGTTGTCATAGCTAGTAATCAGCCTGCTCCTTGTTGGTGCACAGCTCCCTGCTACTGTCCAAGGCAAAAGGAAAGTGGGGTTTGGGCAATCCACGCCTCCTTTTGTTCTGAGCATTTTTTCTTCTTTTGCAATACTGGAGATTGAACCCAGGGCCCCTTAAGCATATCAGGCATCCTACCACAAAACTACACCCCAGCCCAGGCTTCCTTTCAATATGTTCTGATATCTACCATATATATTTTTATATATTTATTTACTTACATATTTATATAGTTATCTTCATATATATACACATTCTCTCTGTCTGTCTCTCTCAGTACTGTATTGCGGATGGAACCCAGGACCTGGTGCATGGTAAGCTAGCACCCTACCCCAAAGCTGCACCACCAGACAAGGCCTCCTTTTGGTCTCTCCTCTTCTGGGGGTCCGAGTCCCCCCACCCTCGCTTCTCTGGCTGCAGGGTCGGGACACCCAGGGGAAGTGAACCCGCCTTGCGGTCCGTGTCCCCCGATGGGGGGGGCAAGTGCACCCTGGGCGCCCAGAGGAGCTAGGACAGGAGGACCCTCACCCCCTTTCCATCCGGGTACCTGCTGGGGCAGCAACGGCAGCGCGTCCCCCGCCTGCGTGGCTGTCGGGGTTGCCGGTTCCAGAAAGTCGTCCTCGGCGTCGGAGCTAGACATGGCACCGTCCTGGCGACGGCTGTCTGGCTCCCGCCCCGTGACTACCACCATCCCTCTGGCTCTGGGCGGTGGGCGCGGCTTCGGCCGGCAGAGGGCGGGCGGGAGAGAGGAGCCCAGAGCTAGTGCGCAGCCGGAGGGCTGTGGCTCCCTCAGTGCAGACCAGCACCTCTAACCCCGCCCTGCCGGCGGCCTTACCCGGCCGCCTCCTACTATTGGCCGAGGTCTCTCTGGCTCCGCCCTGATTGTCAGGAAGCTCCGCCAGCCACAGATGCCCCGCATTTGGCCCGCGCCGGAGTGGCCAGTGGGAGCGGAGCCGGCTGTCTTGCCCTTCTCTGATTGGTGGTCTGGCTGTTGTGCTTGCGTTCTCGGCCTCCTTGGAGCAGGTTGGGCGGGGCTGAGAGGAAGACTCCGGGGTAGACGCCCTGACAACCTTCGCTGGAGGATACGCTGGGGGAGGACTCAGGTCACCGACGCAGCGACAGAGGCTGGCAACCTCCAGGGCGCCTGCATCCTGGGTTTCCAGGACTTTCCCATTTGACTCACGCACGAATCCGAAAGAGGAATCTTCAAACAGGAGCGCATCCTCCAGCGGAGGCTGCCAGGGCGTCTACCGCAGAGCTCGATTAATAATGACAGCGACTCCCCGTGGTGACAGGTCCTCCCCGGACACCAGGACCCCCGGCCGCACTTATGGGGACGGGCTCTTCCCTAAGAAGCTCCCGGGTCGGCAATCCAACATAGCTCTGCTGGGTGGCCCCTGTCTGGGGCTAGGACAACTCAGGAGCCCTGTTGGCGATTTATTATTCTTTTCCTCTAAGTTTTACATTTCGGTGTATTTCTTTAGTTTAAAAAAAAAATCCTACCTGGTCTGCGGGCATGGTGGCATATGCCTATAATCTCAGCCCTCTAGGAGGTGAGGCAGGACCATAAGTTTGAACTCCACTAGGCAACTTAGCAACTTAACGAGACCCTGTCCCCGCAAATGAAAAAGGGCCTAGGGATGTAGCTCAGTACAAAGGCCCTGGCTTCACTCCCTATTACCACACACACAAAAAAAACAATATAACCAAACCAGAACAAACCAAATCCAAAAAACCCTGGGATAGCCAAAAGGCTAGGAAAAACTGGCTTTATGGTAATCATCCTATGGTGTTCTTTCTAAAAATACTAATCTTATTTTTTATTAGTGTATGGTATGCAGTATATAACTATGACATGTATATAACATGTAGTATCCTGTAATTCCTTAGGAGAAATCATTCTAGAACTATTTCTAATAGCCATAGACAAGCTGTCTATAACGCCTCTACATTTATATTAATAAGCTATATACAGGTGTACCAGGCAACCAAATAGCAGGGCTATCAGCCAAGGGGGGAAAAATATCTGATCTGCATTTCACAATGCTCTATTTTTATGTTTATTACTACATGTTTGCTGCACATGGTGATTACATTCCTCACGGGAGTTAGTATGTGTAACATATCTGAATTCTTTTTACTTCCTCCTGCCCTTTCTCCCTGCCAAACCATTTTCACACCCAGTTCCTCATATGATTCTGACAGAAAAGAAAACTGAGGCCTAGTGGAATTCCCAATCCCACACCTAGAGAACCTGATTTGGTTCTTCTGTATTTTGCTTCCCCAACAAACTCCTGGGTCACTTGGTCCGCAGGACCAAGAAGCACACGTCATGTAGCATTGCCCTAAGAAGTCCTATTAAAGTCTTGTCTTAGCCACCATTTCATACTGCAGCCTTACTAAAAAATATATAACATTTTCCTCTTTCCATCCTTATGACAATGAGGCTGTTTCAGAAATTCCAACTAGAAGTGGTTTAGGTAAGAGAATTTTGGTCTTTTTTTTTTTTTTTCAGTACTTAGAAATTAAACTCAGGACCTTGTGCTTGCCAGGTAGGTATGGTGTCACTGAGCTAAACCCCCAGCCCCTACTTAAACCCTCAGTCCCTTAGATGTTATCATTTTATATAACAGGAAAATCTGAGCAGACCCAGGGTTGGTTCATTAATAATGAAGTTACTTGGACCAGCTGCCTTTGCTTATACACTCCTCAGCCCTAGGAACCTCGTATGAGCTAAGGGGAAGGGGCTATCAGGGAGACAGCTATGGCAACATCCTACAGCAAGATGAGTAAAGAAAATGGAAAAGGAGCCCCCAGAGGTGAAAATGTAGGAGGAGGGGGAAATTCCTATGCTATCAGTGAGGATTTCCTGTCAGGAATGTAGTTTCCATTTGGTTTTGTTTATCCAATGTGGGGAAATCCAAGATCAACAGGCTGGAATAAGGGCTAGGAAAAGGTTGGAAGCAGGCTTTCTGGAGAGGCCCTGGTGGGTTGCTGGCAGCAACTGTCCACCACCTAAACTGCATAGAAGGACTTCTGGGCCAGCTCCCAGGGGCTTCGGGGAAAGGCCAGGGGCCCTGGGAGCAGGGGTGGGTGGTACAGGCCATGAAGCCCTTCTCTGAGAACATAGGCACTTAGAGCCTTGGGATTTACTTCATAAATCAGCTAAGCAAGTGGTCCCATAGGCCCAAGCTCTGAGATCAGACAATTGCATGTAGTGTGTTTTCTGCCATGTCTTCCCAGAGAAAAGAAAGAACTTTTGAATGTGGGTAGTGCTGGTTCAGCTTCTAGTTTTCTCTCCTAATTTTAAATGATTGAATAAATATTTTACCAATAAAGGAAATTACAAAAAGAAAGAAGCTGGGCACAGTCAAGCTTGCTTGTAATCTCAGCGCTCTGGCAGGCTGAGGCAGGAGAGTTGGGAGTATGGGCCCAGCCTGGGCAGTTTAACAAGTTAGTGAGACTCCCGTATCCTGTGACTAGTTCAGGCTGGGGAGGTTCATATGAGATACGGGCAGCCGGAAGACGAGACTCAGAGTCGTGGGGACATCTTGATCTGCCTTTAATCTCTGCTGCCTGGCAGCTCAGCTCGCCTTGTCTGCCCAGCCATTCCGCTGTAGTTCATCCTTTGATGTAGCTCACACATTTGCAGCAGTCCTCAGCCCCAAAATGAGCTGTCACACATACAATCTTAGCTGTTCTCAGCCACTTGGCCCTTGCAACAGTCCAGATTTATAGCAGCAGTGCACAATGGCGGGCACATGGCAGTACCCACCTTGTAGGTACGTGCCATCACCCCAGTTCCGCTTAGGACTTCTCATCCAGAAATCAAACTCCCATCCCCAGCCTGAACCATAGCATAGTCACCTTGGGCTTCAATTTTCTCTACATCCTGTCTCAAAATAAAAAATAAAAAGTAGCTGACTGCGAAGACCTAGTGTCAATCTCCAGTTTCAAAAGAAAAGCATCCACTTTTCAAATTATCTTCTTTTAAATTTTGATTTAAATATTTGAGACACACAAAGAATTACAGATAACAATAAAATCCATTACTCATCACTCATGAAACAATCTGCACAGACCTCTCTAATGTCCTCCCCACAATAGGATGTTAGTCTACACATGTCTTCCATTTAGTTGTGATAAATGGCACAGAAAAATGCAGAGCTGCCTGTGTAGAGTAGGAAGTTCCCAGACAGGATGCTGACACCCATGTAACCACCAGTGGGTGAGGAATAGGCCATCCCTGCTGCCATACCCACCATGGCTCCTCCCTGATGAAGCTGACTTCTGTCCCCTCAGAGGTAACCTCTGTCCTCATGGATCTGTCAGTCATTTCTTTGTTTTGCAAGTTTAACCACCCAGGCATTTACCTCCAATCAATGCAGTTTGATTTTAGCTGTTTTAGGATTTGAAGTGAATGGAATCATACTATTCATGCCACTGTTGATGAATAATTATTTCCCAGTGCCAGGCTATGACAGTGTTGCTGTGAACATCTGTCACATGCTGCTCTAGACATTTTGTGTCAGAGAATGTCATTCTCCACTTAAAGCTCTTTAAGTTACATCTTCTTTCTCTTCACCACCACCCACTTCTGCCTCCCTCTTGTGCTGGAGATCAAACCCAGAGCCTGGCACAGGCTAAGCATGTGCTTTATCACTGAGCTTCACTGAGCTACACCTCACCTGGGGAACCTCTTTTTCTGAAAGAAAGTGAAGAAAAATATTTGGGCTAGATGTGGTGGCACATACCTGTAATCCCAGTACCTGGGAGGCTGGGACAGGAGGATCATCATGACTTGAAGGTCAGCCTGGACTGCATGGTGAGACCCTGTCCCAAGTGTGAGTGCTGCTTACCCTAAAGGCAGGCAGGTAGCCTGGATAGAATATAAGGGACAAAAAGAGGGTCACTGTTTGTTGCTTGCTGCTTTGCCACTAGCTGCTCACTGCCTCCTGTCTACCCTGCCATGGACTGTTTCTTCTTTGCTATGCCACCCTACCTTGGAGCAAGCTATCAACTGAAATCTCTACAAACTGTGAGCCAAAACAAACCTTTCCTCTTTTAACTCTGGGTGTTGAGTATTTTGTTTCAGCAACAAGAAAAGTAACTAAGACATTTCCTTTCTCCCTTTTTATGTCTTCTGTCCTATTTCACTACCAGGCATCTATTTCTACACTCTAAGAAACTGTAGGGAGATTTTTTTCAAATGGGGAGAGAAATGGAGGGTGGGGGAGGGAGAGAAGAGAAAAGTTGGTTTTGTTTTGTTTTGAGACAGGATCTTGGTTTGTAGTTCAGACTGGCCCTGAACTTACTATATAGCCCAGGCCTCCAACTCATGGCATTCCTCCTGCCTCAGCCTCGTGAATGCTGGGATTACAGGCATGTGCCACCATGTCCAGTGGGAAAAAATATTTAAAAAATAACTGAGTGGAAAAAATGGAAATAGAGCTTGGCAAATGAGAAGGGGATCAACAGTTGGAAGGAGCAGGGTAGGGGAAGAGATGGGTACGGAACAAGAAAAGAATTAGGCTGTGTTACATACGTGTACCAACTCCCCACAATAAATCCAATCATTATGTACTGGAAGCATAAAAATAAAAAAGAAACTAAGATGTGAGGTTGGGAGGTGCCTATTTCTTTCAAAGGCAGATAAAGCACCCAGGAAAAAAACCAACTTGGCAGTTGGTGCCTCCAGCTCTGGAGTCCTGGCATTGGTTTGGCACTGCCAGTGGAGAGCTCTCTTGGATTGCTGGAGACCCGAAGGCATGGTGAAACCCTGATCCCTAGGTGATACAGATTAAAATACTGTTTAAGATGATTAAATCTTTTCAGGATTGAAAGGCCACATGGTTTCTGTCTCAACTATTCAACTCTATAGGAAACCAGCCACAGATAAGACAGAAATAAATAGTTGCGGCTAGATTTGGTCGCAGTTTGCAAAGCCCTGAACAGAGAAAGCAAGAAATCCTAGCCTCACTATGATGTTTCCAAATCAACTCCATCTGAATGTCCTAAGAGCTGATGCTCTGCTTCATTCCCCATTCAGTTTGCAACGATTCACTTTGAAGAACATGGATAAGTCTTGAGCTTATTAATATCACTAATTTCTCTCATCAAAAAGGTTGGCTAACTAATGAAAGTCATCAGAAAATAAGTGAGAGTTAAGTTAGGTCTACCTAACATATCACCTTGGGTAAGTGACAGCATTACTCAAAAGCCACATTTTTTAATCTGAAAAATGAGAGATTCGATCTCACAATTGTTTCTTTTTTCTAAAACCTTCATTTTTTAACAGAAGTAATTCATGTCAATCCGAGCACATTTAGAAAACAGAAATCAGAAAGAACCACTGGGAGCTCCCACAGTTAACATTATATATATATATAATGTTATATATATATATATATATATACTCTGTTGTCTAATTAGCTAGTCTACTTATTTTTCTATGTATCCTTTACTAATAAAAATGGATGAGGGTGAAGGGAGGGCAGGGAGAAGGGGAAAAAAATGAGAACCAAGACCTGTCATATAGAGGTACAAGATCCTAACAATGAATGTAACTGTACTGTATCCCTAAAATGTACGAATAAACTCAATTAAAGCTGAAAAAAAAATGGATCCATGCTAAACAACTTTGTGACCTCAAATTTTCACTTACTGTAAAATGAACATTCCCCTGTGTTAAGTATTTTTCTCCTTCATCTTACTAGCTGAGTACTGGATGTACCATAATTTAACCCAATCCTTCTACTATTAAGTTTCCAAGTTTTTGTTTTATAAACTATACTGCAAAGGACCTTTTCTTTTTGGTACTGAGGATTGAATTCAGGACCTTGTGCTTGCAAGGCAGGCAGGAGAGCCACTAAGCTAAATCCCCAGCCCCTGCAGAGAACTTTTTGTAGAGGAAGCTTTTAACACATCCGCGATAAATTGCCCTACTTTTCAACTTTAAAACTTTCCTAGGTCCAGCAGTCATTTTGTGTTTGGCCAACAGAGGGCACCTGAGGTTTTTCCTTCTCCACTAGGCCAGGAGGGCATTTCTACATGACAATAACCAAAAAAGTGGTTTCATCATGAAAATAACTCAATTTTGGGTCTTCAATAATATTAAACTCCAAAAGGAGCATAAAAGTCATTAATTTTTCTAATATGTATTAAATACAACATGCGTGCTTCCAACACTCAAAATTATAAACTTGCTTTGTTAGGATTTAAACCCTAACGAAATAACAATGACCTCTTTTGCCCAATTCAGAATAACTGAGGGAGTCTTCTTTAGTTTTTACAAAGACACATAGTATCTACAGGTGACTGGACTGAAAAGTGACAAAACAGCAGGGAAGTGAACTCAGTCCGGAAAATACTGACTGCCTGAGAAAAACTCAGCTAATCTCAGGATTTGTGGCTCCCTAAAAAAAATAGATTTTGAGGCAACACTGAATGGGAGTTTTGCCTTGCCCACTTCTTAAGGATGACCTACCAACCAGGTTTTGGTAAGTAATATTTTAGGTTTTGTTACGTAGTATGTGAAATAGGAGTTTTGTGTATATTTTTCTTGAATTTGTCATCAAGATGCTAAAAGTCCCAAGGGCAATGATCTGCCTACATTTCAGGGCACTCAGAGTGTCACCTACCAAATCACAAGAGGGTACTTAAAAAGCTGTCACTCAGCACTCATCATGCATTTCCATTCTTATAGAAAGATGATCACTGAGGAGTTGAATAATGGCTAAGTCAAGTCTCTGGAGCCAGGCTGCCTGTGTTGGTCTCCAGACCACCACCTACTTGCTGGGCAAGTTGGACAAGGTGCTTCACCTCCCTGAACCAATGCTTTATCATCTTGCCAAATGTAGGTAGAAACAGTACCTTACCAGGAGGCTGGTTGGGAAAATTGACATGAGTTTGAACAGGGAAGGAGGTTAGCATTGGGCCTGGACCACAAACAGCTCTGGGGAACAATAAGCGTATTAACTCAACTAAATGGTTTTTGTTTGTTTGTTTGTTTGTTTGTTTTTTGAGACAGGGTCTCACTATGTAGTTGAGATTGACCTGGAACTCACTATGTAGCCCAGGCTGGTCTCAAACTCACAGTGATCCTCCTGCCTCAGCCTCCCGTGTGCTGGGATTACAGGTTAACTAAATGTTTATTAAGGTTAGTTTCAGTCTTAACTGCTAAAATTCTTCATGGCTGATGCTCCCACAGAGCTCCTCCTATAGCCCTGAGGACAGCAGGACAGCAGCCTTTCCCTGGCTTCCCAGAGTCCTTTGGGGCTAGGGCGATGGCTATGAGGGAGACAAAAGCTCTGTGACAACCATAGGACATTTCTACACTGGCCCCTTTCTTTCTCTGTGTCTCTCTGTCTCTCTCCCTCCCCTGTATGCAGATTGAATCCAGAACATTTGCACTGAGTGATACATACTCAGCCCTTTTTCTCATATTTTGAGACAGGGTCTTACTAAGTTGCTAAGTTGTCTGGGCTGGGTTTAACTTGCAATCCTCCTGCCTCAGCCTCCCAGAATGCTTGGATTATACCTGACTGGTAGCCTTCTCACATTTTACACTAGCCATCATTTATCTGTTCAACAGGAATTCCATCTCTGGTGGTCTAGTGGTTAGGATCCAGCGCTGTCTAAACAGGACTTCCATTTGATTGCATTAGATCCTAACATTTCACAAACAAAAGGGATCTTTACAAAATGCTGACGGTGATCCATTGGAACAGAAATGCTATTCTTCAAAGCTCAAAATAAATGTGCTCAGACAAAAAAAAAAAAAAAAAAAAAAAAAAAAAAGGCTTTGTGAAGAAAAGGAAATCAACTGGAGTGGAGATGACAGAGTGTTCACTTCTCCAGCCAGCTGGGAACAGAGGGTTTCATCTGGGTCCACCATTGTGTACAGTGGTTCTCTGCCCTGTTCTAAGCACCCATCCCCAGCACTGGACTCCCCAGGGTAGCAGGATGGGGAAACAACTTGTTATGGCTTGTCTAGATGTCCCCGCCCAAAGCCTTATGTGGTCATAGGTGGGGCTTTTTTGGAGATGGCTGGATCTAGAGTATGTGATGCTGGATTCAAGGGTGTGATTACTAAATCAGTCCACTGATTGGTTTGGCATAGGGTGTCCCACCCTGAGTATGAGTGCTACCTGCTCTGAGGATGGGTAGCCTGGAAAAGATATAAGGGACAGAAAGAGGGTCACTGCTTGTCACTTGTAGCTTGCTGCTTACTGCCCTGCTGCCTTATGCCCACCATGAACTGTTTCCCCTCTGCGATTCCTCTCTGCCACACCACACTACAAACTGAGCCAAGTAAGCATTTCCTCCTTTTACTTTGGGCATCTAGTATTTTTTCTCAGCCACAAGGAAAGTACGTAAAACACAGCTCATGCATTTCTTAGGCACAGGTGTTAGCATGTGGCAGGATTATACTTAAAGATGATTTTTCCCTATTTTCTGATAGGCTCTAGGTGGTATATGTCCTCTTCACATAAGACTAACACAGGAAAGGAGCTTTTATCTATCTATCTGACATCTATCTAATATGCTGAGGCAGATTTTACTGCTATTTGGAGGTTGGAGCAGATGACTAAGTCTTCATGAGTAAATAGCACTTATGATAGCTGAATCCTTAATGAAGCTGGGATTCCCCATGTCGGGGGAAGGACTGGTGTATGGGTTCTGAAAGAAGCAGAATATGCACAGAAGGAAAGAGGACCAAGAGCGCTGTGTTATGAGGAAGAAGCAGGGCTATACACTGTGGGCAGAAGAGTTTAGACATCAACGGTGAGGCATTAGAGACAAAGGCTTTTAGCAAAGGAGTGACTTACAATGATGTTGAATGCAAGGCTGATCTGGCAGCAGGATTAATTTTATTTTGTGGGGGGTTTGAGACAGGGTCTCACTATGTAGTTGAGACTGACCTGGATCTCACTGTGTAGCCCATGTAGCACTATGTAGTCTCAAACTCACAGTGATCCTCCTGCCTTGGCCTCCTGAGTGCTGGGATTAAAGGCATATGCCACCACACCCGGTTAGGATCTAAGGATTTTATAACTAGAGGCTAAACATGCCAAATGAGTTTGAGGTCAGGAGTGAATGGCCAGGTCAGGAGATGGTGAGGCCCTGGGAGGCACTGAACCTGGAGGCGTTGAATGGGTCAGGAAGGAGCAGGACCCAGGACCTGGCTATGCTGTCACAGCCTAGGTGACAGACGCTGATGTCCTACAGCAGGGTGGGGCAGAGGAAACAGGGACGCAAAGCAAATGGATTGAGGAACCACTCTGAAGGCAGCAGCAAAGATCCTTAGTGAAGAGGAAGGAGGGAAGAAAGGGTGAAGTCAGTATGACCCTTAGGTTACCGGCTGGGGTGGGAGCGTAGAAAATACTGCACTTTGGACACGGATGTGAGTGGAGGAGGCTGGGTTTCAGGGCTAGGATGGCACATAAAATCCCTCACTCAGTGCCAGGAGGAATGGGGTTCCTATTGTCGGTCAGCTGGAGACAGTAACTTCCTGTTCTTAAACACAGTGGGCCAGCATGAAGTAGAACGGGGGTTTTGAAAGTGGGTGGCAATAAATAAAATAAATGACAGAAAACCTCCCTCAGAGCGCTGATGCCTGGAGGTGAGCAGCTACCTCACAGCCAGTGAGAAAATTAGTTTAACAGTGAGCTGGTAATGAAAACACATAACTACTAGAATGCTTCACATTGAAAGCTTTTATTTTGAAAAATAAAATACAAAAGTCATTAAGTTGTAAATGTATACGGTACTTTCCCCACTTTTTCAGAAACAATATGATGAATTACTTAAATAATTAAGGTTCAGTACTATCCACATCAATACATTTAAACAGGCACAGATGCTCTACAAAACAATGGAACACATACGGACCACCTACTCCGGCACACAGCTGCCCGATCCTGCTTAGAAAATGCCATTTAAAACCCTGCCCTAAGAACAAAGTGTGGAATCCAGGGAAAGAAAGATGAGGCTGAGAGCAATTTGAGAGAAAGCACATGTCCCCTGTGGGTGCTGTGCCCCAGGGTGCTACGGTTGTGGGGTTCAGAGCAAGTCCCCAGGCAGCAGGTCCCTCAGAGGCCGGGACACAGGTGGGTGCCACATGGGCTCAGCATGAAGACACTGGCAGGTGACAGACGCAGGAGACAGACGCGAGTTGGTCACGGTGCACACGGCCACCGCCCTCAGCCGGGAACAGCGGTCCCAGAAACTCCCTCTTGCTGAAGAGGCAGCCGTCTCTCCTAGGGCAAACAGATGGAAAACGTTACAGGTGCGGAGCCCCTGTGTGCTCACCCTGAGCCACCAGTGCCCCCTTCCTAGATGGTGCCAGGCAGCCAGGCAGTGGACCAACCAGGAGGAGCCCAGCTGCACGGAAGGAAGGGCTGCACCAGAGGCCTTGGATGCCTGCAAGAGACTTCTCCATGCGAAACACACAATGGCAGCCAGGGCCAGGGCTGCCCTGCCCGTGTCTCAGCAATCCAACTTTCATCTGCAGCTGAAGCAGATAGGGGTGCTGGTCCTGAGGGTGCAGAGGTCACCAGGCTGGCCCTGCACCACTGAGAGAGCAGATTCTTAGGTTCTTTAAAGGGAGCATTAGAGAATAGCGTCGACTGTGCAACTGTCAAGGGGTCCAAAAGACCATAAGACAGGATCTCTGCTGAGGTGCTTTCCAGGCTCCCTGGTCTCCTGTGCCTGCACTGGGTTCCCAGGGGCCCCCATAAGCGAACCAGGTGAAAGGCTGCTGCGGGTCAGCATGCAGCTCGCTGTATCCCATGAAACCAGTGTTTCTTAATGTGTGTGTGTGTGTGTGTGTGTGTGTGTGTGTGTGTATTGGGTGGCACATTTCCTATACATTACATAGGCAACATCGCCCTGGGTCTAAGAACTGCCATTGCCCATCTGCACGCCTGGCATCCAGCATGTGCTCCTTACCAAGAAGGCAGTGTGATTCTGACACCTGTTATCAGCTCAGGGACATCCATGCTTTGACATGACACAGAAATGTCCATGGGCTATGTTTATAATCCATTCACGTCACAGAATCTCTCATTCCAATCACTCAACTTCAGTTCCCTTGTGTAGCACAACAGGAAGAATACCGCTTATCAGATGCTTTGAGAACTGAATGAAATTATAAACACATTCTATATTACACATTACATAGTCATGTCATATGTAAATATTATACATATTTATGCCTGGTTTACAGTATATACTTGGTACATGGTTATTATGTAGAGTAAAAATAAAGCTTTCTGCTGGCACTGCCATCTTCAAGTAATTGAACAAAATGACAAAAGGAGAGAGGAGAGGCACCCGATGTATGTTCCTGGCCCTTGCAGAGAGTGTGGAGCTGCTCCTTTGTGTTTACATGTGAATCTGCAAGCAGGACAGCTGGGGACACCAGGCGCTGTGCAAGAAGGAAGCCCACACCAGTCCAGGCAGGACCGGAAGTCCACAGTGTCACCCAGCGCCGGCTGGCAGCATGAACAAGCCAGCGCCGGGAGGACTCCTGTCAGGAGATGAACGTGTGTCCTGAGCAAGCGAGTCTCCGAGCACCGAGATGGCCTCCCGAAGCGCAGGAAAGGAAAGGATCAGAACAAGGAGGAAGCGAGAGAGAAAGGGGCCTGGGCTGGAGTGAAGCACAGCCTGCTCAGCCCAGGAAGCCCTGGGGGAGCTGAGTGGCTGGAGCCTATTCCCTAATAGGTATAAAAAATAAATTGTGAAAATGGTTTTCTTGATTGACTAGAAGTATAGCCCCTTCTCTTCCAAAGACCACTTAAAGCAGTAAGTAAATACTAAGCAAGCAAAACTATGAGAAAAGAAATCATCAGAATTTTAGAAAAGCTTTCCAAGTTCCAAACAATCTAAGGTATCAGCACATTATTCAGAGCAAAAGAGAATTCTAAGAGCATCTGAGGGGTGTGAGCAGCTACATCAGGAAACCTTGGTGCAAACTCAGCTTTGTCACTCAGGTGCTGTGTCCTGGCCGGAGAAAGGGGTCTCAGAAAGCCTGGCTGCTACAAAGCATGGCCCTTTGCCACAAAGAGACAATGCAGGGTACAAAGTAAGGCATCACCAGACGCTAACATGAGCAAGGGTGGACTTGGGAAAACAACCAATTCGTCAGAAATAGACGAATTAGTGCAAAAGTCTAGTGCACAGACAAGCAGCGAGGGGTGGTGGGAATAGCCCTGACCAGAAGGCAAGAGATAGAGCTCTTTGGCTCTAGGTGTCCATACTCTGTGACAGGACCTTGAGACAAATAACTGCTCCCTCCAGCATCAGGGTTCTCATTTGCAACAGGCAAGGGGGCTTGGTTGTCCCTAGGTCCCTTAGTGCTGATCTACTATGTAATTTTCAGTCCTGCTTCATAATGAAAGTAACACCTACTGCTATTTACACACTTATCTGTGCTGGGCTCTCTGAAGATATTACCACGGGTAATCTTACCTCCAACCTACGAGATGAGAGTTTAGTTTATTTACTTTAAAGAGGCGGAGACACCAAGGTTAAGTGACAGGTTTGCCACACAGACAGCAACCAGACAGCCTTGGCTCCAGAGCTGGGCTCCATCTGCGCATGCTGCCTCTGAAGAGGGTCCAGGCGGGAAACCTGAAACCCAGCAATGTCCCCAACCTCACCTTGCGTGGGAAAGGCCTTCCAGGCTCTGCTACTCCACCTGCTCAGTCTGCTGAAAAAAGCAAAAGATGTTTAAAGCCCTGAGACTGGTGAGCATGAGAAGCGGCTGCCCCTTCCGGGACATCAGCAGTAGCTTGTAGCCTCCCAACTTCCAAATAAACTGGGCCTGTGACTGTTGTACAATAGAGGATTTGGCTGGGTTGGGTGGCACACACCTATGATTCCAGCACTGAGGGAGGCTGAGGCTGAAGGATCACAAGTTTAAGCCTCACCTAGGCAACTTAGGGAGTACCAAGACCCTGCCTCAAAAAATAAGCTGCTAGCAACACCCCAGCCCCTGGATTAACTTTTTTTTTTTGAGATGAAGTATTGCTATATAGCTCAGCCTGGTCTTAAACTCACTATGCAGCACAGATGGGCCTCAACCTCACAGCAAGCCTTCTGCCTCAGCCTCCCAAGTGCTGGAATTATAGGCGTGCACCACCACACCCCACTAATTTTTTAAAGACTAGAAGTGACAAGCTTCAATCTCTCACATTCTTCCTGAGGGCCAGTGGCTGGGTGTACAGTATGTTCACCAGTCTTCCAGGCTCCAAAAGAAATAGTTTAAGTGGCATGTGTGTGTAGTAAGAACATAGGATGGCTAGACGTTTCATTACAAATTAGATAATCAGAGGCCACGCACAATCGCCAACACACACTCCTTACATGGAAGTACGGTGTGGCTAGAGCCTGACCTCATTAGCAAACAAATTTTACTTCTCAATAAAGTATTTTCCTAGTTTTAGAAGATACTGAAATTAAGATGGTATTCAATGACTGTTAAAATTAACAAATACCAGACATCGATCTTCCTACTACCAGCATCAATCATTATCTCTTTTCTTTTTTTCTCTTTTGATTTTTTTTTTGTTTTTAGTTTCCTTTTATTTAAAAATAATACTTTGATGCAAGAGCTAATCTCTTTACAACAAGAGTAGAAAGCTGGTACAATAGTGAGCATACCTGGGCTTTGTCTTTAAGGAAGTCAGGGAGTTGAAATTCTCCTTTATAGACCTGGAAGAGACAAAGCAGGTGTGAGCCAGGGACAGGCCCTGTCATCGAGGAAAGGGAGGGCACACATGACTCCTGCTACCCACTGGGTTACAGCTTCGGTGGGGCGGAGGTGAAAGAGACTTGGCCACAGCACAGCACAGCACCAGACAGAGCTTGGGATCTTGGATCGGCTCCACCCAGGCCATCCAGTGATCTGGAGAGGCTGCTAAGAGAGGGCTCGGGCTCCCTGAGGAAGGAAAAGGCACCAAAACTCCCGATTCTGGTTCTGGTTGCGTCAGCCCAGAGAGAAAGCCTGTGGGGACAACCTCAGAATGCACACAGCTCAGGCCCGTGCCTCCTGCCTGCCTTCTGAATTCTCCAGGTTTTGGCCCAGGATATAATCAAATGTTTCCTTCCTCAACTGACCCATTAGTACCACAACAATTTTTTTTTTTTTTTTTTTTTTTTTTGGTACCAGGAATCAAACTTGGATCCTTGAGTTTGAAACCACTGAGCTAAATCCCCAGTCCAACACGATTTTAATATAAGGTGACTCTTAAAATGATACATACATTAATCTCAAAAAACATTGTAGCAAAAACATTTTAATATATAAAAATATACAAGCAGTAATTATGAAGTATTTTTAAAAAACAGCATTTGTAATAACATCAAAAATCCAATACCTAAGAATAAATATAAAATACATGTATAACTTTTACATAACAAACCATAAAACACTGAGAGAAATTTAAGGACCCAAATGAATAAAGAGACATAACCATTTTCAGGTATAGGAATATTCAATACGGTAATAATATCCACCCTCTTTAAATTATTCCCAATCAAAATTCTAATTTTTTTAAAAGGAAGGTATAATTTCAAGCTGATTATAAAAGTTACGTGGAAACGCTAATAGTCAAGGAAATCTCTGAACAAAGTAGAAGGATTATTCTACAAGGTATCTAAACATGATACAGCTGCAACCAATCTATGCACCCACATACACACACATGTAGGCACACAGCGAGATAACTGCATCGCTGTGTGAGGCAGTAAGGTTTGGCACAAGGACAGACCAGTGCATCAGTGGAACCGAACAGAGACTCCCAAAACAGACCTCCCTCCATTGACACTTGGTTCCTCACATACGAGGCACTGCAGAGCAAGGACTCAGTGAACAAATGCAGTCCATGCCCTCAGCAGTGAAAACACGAACTGCTGCGATCCTACCAGTAACACAACCAGACCACAGCACAGAATGGTGAGGGTGGAGGGGCCCAGATCTAAAGAATAAGAGACTACAAGTCTGCATGAAGGTGTGAAGCCCCAGAGCAGGGTCAGCCCATCAATGTGAGTGTCAGGACGCCAGGAGTGGCCGGAGAGGGTGAGAGGGCCTGGCTTGGCCAGGACTCCAGGTCACACCATGCTCTTCGCAGCTTACGGCACACACTAGCGAATCCACGGCTAACTCCTCTTTCTCGTTATGATTCACCACAAAAATCAGTAAGGAATGACAGAAAATGAACGGCAACATGAAATATTAAATCTTCCAGATACTGACGGAGAGATGAGGGGTATATGAAGGAAGGGAGTAAGTATGTGAGGTCACAGTGTAAACAAAACCCAAAAGGGGGCAGGGTCAGAGACCAGAGAATCTTGGTTAAAAAAAGGGGGTGCTGCCTGGGAATTTTCTCCTTTCAGTACCCTCTAGGGAACAGATGCCTTAAAAGAACTACAAAATTGATAAAAAGAACACTTTCCACTGACAAAGCAATTTCTATTTAGTGCGTGCAACCCATGACTACACTTTACATAGAAATAGCGAAGTTGGGAACCGAGTTTCCTTTAACCAAATGAACAGTGTTTGGGGGCTTACTGTTCTCTGAGCACTGAAAGACTGAAGATGCTGCTCCCAGCAACAGGTGGGTACTCAGAATCCAGTGTTTCTACAGACCCTCTACCTGAAGCACTGAAGAAATAAGGAGACAAAAGTAGGCTGCTGGTCTGGAGTGCACGATGGAATTAAAAGTAGTGAAATGTAATCCCAGCACTCTGAGTGGCTGAGGCAGGAGGATCACAAGTTCAAGCCCAGCCAAGAGCAACTTGGTAAATCCCTGTCTCAGAAAGTTAAAAAGGGGCAGGTGGGGGTGGGGTGGGGGGCTAGGATGTAGATCAATCAAAAGGCCCTGGGTTCCATCCCCAGTACTGAGAAAACAGAAATAAAACAAACACAAACCAAATTAAACCTTACGGGTTTTTTTTTTCCTTACAGAAAATATTTAATGAAAATGGATCTCTGCAGAACAGGTTACAACATGGAAGTTGCAAAGTCAAAATTCTAGCTCCCCCAGGGCAGATGAGGGGGCTGGTGGAGAACGGGGGCAGTACCTCACAGAGCAGGCAGCTCAGGCTACCGCCCCGGGGAATAGGCTCAAGGCTGACACTTCATCTTAGTTCCAAAGAGATGTGTCTTTTTAGGGAAATTGTATTTTTTAATTTGCCTTTGGTTTTTTTTGAGACAGGGTTTCACTGTGTAGCCCAGGCTGGCCTCAAATTTACAGCAATCCTCAGGACCTCCCAAGTGCTAGGATTACAGTCGTGTGCCGCCATACCTAGCTGTATTTTAAAAATGCTGGCCACTAATTGATTCTTTCTCTCCAAAATCACAGTACATGCCAGAATGAAAAACTTAATGGGCAGCTAGAGGACAATCTATTTTACACACTGAAGTAAAAAGAAATGAGTTCATACAGTAGCTCACACAGCCCAAAATAAAAAGTGTTCACATTTTCAGTCCACCACCAACCCCTAACATCTCTTTACAATGCACACATGAACTCTTCATTTTCTTTGGAGGAAATTAAATCAGATTTCGTTACTGAAATAATGATCAGTAATTTAGTCAGGAAGGCAAAGAAGTAAGCAATCACACATGGAAAGAATTCTACACTAAATTATTTAGATTTGGTCGTTAAAGGGAACAAATTTATCTGAAATTTTGGCTTTCCAGAGTGACTCATTCCACACTATGAACAGCCAAGGTTTTACAAGCTTAAAAAAAAAACTCTTGAGAAATGAGGCCAGCTCTGTACGTGGCTTGATTTTATGGAGAACAGTGAGCCTGTCTACATTATTTCCATGCTATCAGTGTCTGTAGCACTGTCCTAAGACTGGTGTGCCTTACAGTGTGTGGCAGCGGCTGCTGGCATCCGTGACTGTGCAAAGCCCTCCAGGTGCCCGCAGCTGCTACTTCTGAGGTCGGGCAAGGAACATCTGCCCCCACTGGGTCGCTCGCTCAGGGGGAGCTGAAAAGGTCTGTCTTCTCCAGCCAGGGGTCGGCGAGGCCTAGAAGCTCCCCAGCGACCACACAGTGAGTCCCGGGAGGGTTCTGTGAGGCAGTGACGCAGGACTGCACCTCCGTGACACACCTGGAGAGGGGCAGCCAGGCAAGCCAGCCTGTATTCCCCGTCACTCTGCTCGGCCCACACAGGTAACAGGACATGGAGCTCATCTTAGCTGATGCTGTTCCTCAGCTCTATCTGGGGAGTCGCTGTTGCCAGGGAGAGACGGTCACATCCCAGGAATTAGGAAGCAGACTCTTTCCAAGGCCACTGTCCAGTCTGCTGTATGCAAGTGACAGATAACTAACACATTACACTGCGAATTCGTGCAGTTTGTAAATGGGGACAGCAGCCGCCCTCACAAACAAAAACTCGCACGTGTCTTTAATTTTAACGCAAATGGGTTATTTGGAAAACTTCTCTGATTCATAAGACATGCATGTGTGCAAGAAGCATAATATCCACAACTTTCAGGCAGCAGCCATTTGCGTGCGCATACACACAGACATAGTGGAGATGAGGCAAACAAGAGGAGACATTTTAACAAGTTGTGATTTGATCTTCCAGATGCACAGGTTCTAAATAGTATTCTTTCATTCCCCCCCAAGTATGAAAAACAGGAAAAATCAGGAAGATAAACATTTTAAAATTTATTTATTTTTTATTTTATTTTATTTTTTGGGGGGCCCTGAACTCACTATGTAGTCTAGGATGGCCTCGAACTCATGGAGATCCTCTGCCTCGATTACAGGCATGTGCCACCACGCCTGGCTCTACATTTATTTTTAAACTTTATTTTTTTATTGGTACGTACTTATCATACCTATTGATCGCATTCATCATAGGGAATTTGTACGCATATATAATATCCTAATTCTTTTTTCCCATTCCCCTCTTCTCTTTCCAATCCTTCTTCCCCTCCCTATTCTCCAAAGCTTTATTTCCATTTTTCCTTCTATTTTCTTTTATTCCTTTTTCCTTCCTACCCTCCTCCTTCTCCTGTTCTCCTTCCTTTTTTTGTTTTTGTACCAGGGATTGAACTCAGAACCTTGCATTTGCAAAGCAGGTGCTGTGCCATTGAGCTAAGTCCCTGGCCCTCTCCTTCCTGTTTAAACATGTTCTTCCTTCGTCCCGATACCTAGCCTCCCTTTTGCACCTTTCTTACCCTTTGGGTTTTTCATTCAAGAGAAACAAACATACTTAAATTTGCACATTCAGTTTATTTCACTTAAGATTATGATCTCAAGGTGCATCCATTTTTCTACAGATGACTCAAGTTTTAACTTTTTGATGACAAAGTAATGCTCCGCTGTATGCAACATTTTCTTTATCTGTTCATCTGCTGACGGGCAGACAGAGTGTTTCCAAGATTCAGCTATGATAAATTGTGCTGCTGTAAACATGGGTGTGCATATCTTGGTGGTAGGATGCTTTTAATTCTTTGGGAAGATACCCAGAAGAGGAATAGCTGAGTCAAATGGAATCTCTAGTTTTAGTTTTTTTGAGAAATCTGCAGGCTGATTTCCATATTGGTTGCACCCACTTACACTCCCACCAACAGTGGAGAAGAGTTCCTTTCTCCCCTCAGCCTGGACAGCATTTGTTTTTTGTTGATCTCTTGATGATGGCCATTCTTTCTGGAGTGAGACGGAATCTCAGTGCTGTTTTAATTTGCAT